GATTTACGGCCGAGTTGAGACTCGGCCAACGGCGTCTGCATATTAATATGTGACTTGGCATTTTACTTTCTACGCCATGGAGCTTGCAATCAAATCCGACTCCTGCACTTTCCCCCAGACGTATTCCTTACCCCTGGACTTCCGGCGTTGGACTTGGACTCCTTTGCTCGCAGCACGTTTTTATTGTTGTGCCGTCCAATTTGTGACGAGTGAGTGCATATAATAAAGCAAATTATATTTTAGATTCAAATGCTATGCAGTCGAGCGGAAGCCGTCTCAAGAGCCGGGCCTCAAACGATATCGTGACTGGAGGCCCGGACTACGTATACGCCATGTTGTCTAGTTGGGCCAACGTGACCGTGGCCTTTGCGACTGCTCGTTGCGAAAAGTATGTTACAATTATTTTCATCAAAAAACATCAAGCGAATTCCACGTCGCACACCAGACAAAATGGTGGATTGCATTATGGTTTTTAAATATATAGATTTTAATATGTTTGTTTAGCTTGTCGTATACATTTTTTAGAAAAAATGTTTATTTTATTATATTAATGAATTTTTTTGTATTTTTGGAACACTATGTTATTCAACTATCATATTGAACTAAAAAAATTACCTTATTATTAGAATTCAAATTTATTTAATTTAAATTTATTTAAATTGATTCGGAAATAGTGATTTGTATTAACCGAATTAAATACAATTCTAAAGAATAAACTTTTTAAGCATTTCATTTAATTGCATTTCAATCAAGAATGATATTGTTATGGTCCCGATTCAAACTAAAATGAAATAATGAATTCAGTCACAGGACAGCAAGAATATTATTCCTTAATAATTTAATATAATCCTATTAGTTTAATTGGTCGCCAGGACATCATTTCGACAAGGTTTTTTGCCATTGCTACTGCTGTTGTTGTTTTTCTATGTTATGTACTACAACATGAAAGGCAAAAAGCTGAACAAAACAGGAGTGCACTTGAAATTGTTGATGGCCAAAGTGAGTCGACTTGTATGTGCGTCGAAATATCCTTTTTTCCCCAGCACTTTTCTCCCCCTTTCCGACGACGGTTGCATCCGCATGCTTAAAGTTTTGTTTCGGTTTTATCATTTTTTTTTGGTGTGTCAACTTTTCCCTTTGTTTTGCATTTTAGTTGCCCCAAGCCCCCAGAATCGGGAAAAGCATTTCGAAAATGTGGAAAAATGGAAACTTCTGCCCGGTCTGCAATGCTGACCGATGTCGACATCGTTGTTGGCCAGCCGCATGGCATAAAGAGCGACAGTCCGCAGGACATTTTATATTTAATTTACAGTATGACCGCACTTGGTCTCTGTCCGTCTATCTGTCTCATTTTACCGACTATCCCCCCTCTCTTTCCCCCATTTTATCCTTATATAACGTCATTCGTTCGCTGGCCGAGTGCATTTAATAGAGTGCAATGCGGCTTTCGAAATGCAGGGGTAAAGCCTTCGTGGCGATGATTTTCGCTCTCTGGTCTTTCCCGCATCACCCTATTTGTTTATTCTCGCCACACGGTCAGAAATTAATTTCTAATTCCCATTATGGTGGTCCAGTTTCCCGAAATCTACTAAATACGCCATCCATTAAGTAAACACATACATTTTTAAACGAAAATTGCATTAAATAAAGTTTCAAATAGGCTTTCGGCCATCCAAAGTGGGGATTATCGAATGGGGCGGTGGACAAGGGACAGTGGCTGGGGGGCGTGGCACAATCAGAGTGCCCAAGAGTTGCCACAACAACAACTGAAATAAACCCAACAAATTCGAATGGGAATTAAAAAGGAAAACTTAAAAAGGAAACATTCAGTAAAGTTCTTTTAATACTCTTCATAAGAATTACATTAAATATTTATACATATTTGGTAAAAGAATTTCAAGTAAGCAATTCATTGAGAAATTATACAAAATTATATAGTCATTTAATACTCTAATAAATTTATGATTTAATATTACTTACAACCCCAATCTTTAAAAATGTTTTAGAATTTTATTTCATCAACAACTAACATTCATTTTAAATTTTTCAGGGCATTAACCCAGTCAACTTGAATTGTTCCTGCAAAAACAAAGTTCCATTCTCAATTATTTTTGCCCTGTATCCACTCGACAATTTTTTTTTTTTTGAGTTCCTGAACTTGTGGGGATTTGAGCTCGGGGAGAGTTAAATGGGTGGTAGAGGGTCCAGGCCGAATTGATGCCGAGGATTGGATGAACTGAAGCCGTCCATGTCCATGGCCATTCAGTGTGCATTCGTCCACACTTTTATTGCTTTAATTGCGCACCGAAGCGCAACAAGAATCGACGAACATCGCTCTCACATCTAGGACACACATGTTGCTAATGAAGTTTTCTAACAACATTTCAACTCATGTCAGATCATAATCTGTTAATCTGCGAGGCCCGACCGTCGAGTCCCTTCCCACGGCCCAGGATTGCTGAAATGACATCAAAATAAAGTAGAACATGTCGAAGCTGAGGACAACTGTACCAAACACATCAATCCGCCTCCCCAGGACACTTGGGTCCTTTCACCCCACCTTTGACACAACAGAGAAAAGAGAAAGTTAATGAAAATGGATTTTTAGTTTGTCATCGGAGGACAGGGAGTCAATTAGGCCAATATTTCCAGGCCTATAATGACTCTTTTTCAAAGGATAAGTTAAGATTCAAAAGAATCTTAAGATTGTCAAGGGGCTAAATAAAAGGGTTGCTAGGCAACAAAAATAACTAAGAACCCTTAGAAATACGAAAATTAATAGGGATTAAAGCTTAGGTTGCATTTCAACAGTACAACATTAAAAACTTTCATAAGAATACAAATTTGTAAAAAAAATTATTTTTATTTTTTTCATTAAGAGAAAATTTGTGAAGCTTCATAATTTTTCACGACCAAGATTGATAAACATTTTCAAATGCGTTTGGAACTAATACGCTAATAGTTTGAAATACTAATTGAGGCTTTCCACTGTTTTCCCCACATTAGGATTTCCGAATTCATCGATTGCTTAAGCTTCCATCGAAACGTAGCGCATTAATAATATCCTTTAGCAAATATAAACACAAATACTAGCACTCACACACACACATCTGCAATTTGAGCAACATGTCAGAGCAAACAACAAACAACAACGACGCCACTGTCAATGGGAAAACTTCAGATGGGGTGGGAAAATTAAGGGGGTGCGCCTGTCGAATTTCTATTTGTTTATGCTTACGCCTCGATTGTGCTGAAAAATCAACAAGCCCATCGTCTAAGCGCCAAATGGGTGTGTATTTTAATTAAACCTGTTTTTCGAAGGCACTTATCAGATGCAGACGTCCCACTATCAGGTGCTAAAAATAAAACTAAACAATGAGAACGGGAAAAGCGGCAAAGAACAAAATTGAACCATATTGAACCCTATATAAGAAAAAACCAGTATTTGTATGTTAGTTTTGATACTATTTTAAATCATTTTCTTGTGCAAAAATTATGCGAAAAATCCTACTTTTAATGATTATATTATGAGAAGGATTAATTTCTAACAAGGTTTTATTTATAAGTAGCTGTTTTCTAAATTTAAAAAGTCTTTGCCATGATATTTCAGCGACTTTATTTAAAACTATAGTTTCTTATAAGAAATATCTTTACCATTTAATAACTAGTGAATCCAAATGTCTCAAAAATATAGTAAATTCTCAAGTCCTTTGCTTGCATACATGTAACTTAAAACTTTACTCTTTTTGAAATGACAAACATCGAATCGTACAAAAAATTTCTCTGTGTGGATCCAACAGTCCTTTCAGCTAGAAGCTAAAATGTTTTACTGTTAATGGACTTTCGATATTTGCAGGAAGTTATGGCAGCTTGATTTATGTCCATGGCCTTTACCTTCGGCTGCCAGGTAAGGTCGTTTAATTATTGAACAAGAGAGGGCAACCGAATGCTTGTCTGGCAATCAAATTTGAAATAGTCTGGCATAAAAAATGTAAGAAGATTTTCATTGGCATTCTGCCATTGCTATTACTTACTAACATCAAATAAAACTCGAGTTTACAGCACGGCACATAAAGTTGTTCAAATTGAGGGAAAATCGGGAAAACACAGAAATCAAAGTAAGCACCTAAGCAGCTTATGCAAAAGACAATCGAAACCCACCCTGTCTTCTATATCTTTTTTGCATTTTATTCTTATTTTACAACGCCAATAGCCAAAAAGTGTTAAACAAAATTTGCGTCTGGGCGTTTATTGAGTGGAACGAACGCCTCAGTTCGGGCTAAATGGAAAATGTAAAAATGTAACCAGGCAGTCGGAGAGTAAAAGCAAAAGTTTAAATTACTTTCTAGTAAAACTTTGATCCGAGACAAGAAAAATAGGCTAAAAGAAGAATGCAAGCGAGATTAATGCTTAAAGCGAAAAGGGTAGAATGCTGAATTGTTAAATAACTAATGCATGGCCAATGAACTTGCGAGCAAAACTTTTCGCATATATCTTTATATTCCATTTGGCCTGCTTTGACTTTCTTCAAATTATATAATGTTAAATACATTATTAAAAACCATTTGGAATAACGATTAATGATCATTTGAATTTAATAAATGCACTGCTTTTTAAAAATATAATACCTTTTTTCATAGTATAAAGCGTATAGCTTGATAGCGAAACAATTCGGTGTTATTATTAATCCAGGTGTAATTATCTTTAATGAAGCGATTTATAGTATTGGCGACCCTCTGACCCCCTCCTCGCCTCACTGATTACGAAATATATGGAGATACCCTGAAAAAACATCTAATTGTATTAAAAGATATTTTCAAAATATTCAACCAAATATTCCGTTTGTTGAAGAAAAGTATTTGAAAAGTTTGCTAAAATGTAAAAGTTGCTATTCAAATACTATTAGAAACATATTTATTATTGTTTCCCAGAATTTAATATTGGGTATTACCTTTACCTTTAAAAGATTTGGAATAGAATTAATTTTAAAACACAGCATGTTCAATATATCATAATTGTACAATTCATGTTTTATTCAAACTCTAGTCATTATTAAAAACTAAATATATATGCGTTTCCTGTTAATTGTAGGTGGGAGCCCGGTCGATGGAAGCAGCCTCCAGAATTACCTTCATGATCTTGTCCTTGGCGAACTCGGAGGCATCGGCGTTCAACTGGCGGAGTCGGTCGGCCACAAAGTCCCCAAAGATCTGCGACGTATCCTTTTGATTGCGAAGGGCGGTGGCTACCGCCTTGTTGACCATGTCCTCGTCGATGATGCTAATGGTCGACACCTCGCCCTCCCCTTCGCCCTCATCCTCCAGCCGCTGCTCGCCGCCGCCGGTCAAAGAGCAACTGGAGAACATGACCTGTTCCGGTTCGTAAAGGGCCAGGTTCTCGATGATCTGCTCGTAGTCCACGGACTGATCCGATTGCCTGATCTTTTCCTTCTTTACCGGGGGAGTTTTGGGCTGGGGCTTCACTTTGACTTTGTATGCGGCGCTGGAGCTGCTGGCGGTGGACCTGTGCGCGTCGTCCGTGTTCTTCTGCTTGGGTGATAATATCGGGTTATCGGGGGTTACCAACTGGCTTAGTGCAACCTACCAAATGGGGCTTGAGATCTAGGTGCTTCATGTGCTTCTTGGTCGCCGCATGGGCACGCAGATCGCTGATTTTGGTGTTCACGCAGCACTTGCAGAAGCGGCAGTGCGCCCGATAGGAGTCGTCCGGGTCCCGGCGCAACCACGCCCGGAACTCCTCCATTTGCAGCCACACGTCGCGTAGTTTCTGCTTGTAAATTTTCATTTTTCACCCAGATAAACGGCAAGAAACGCAATGAAAACTAATAAAAACGCAGCGCACAGCAACAATGTCAATGCAATAGTGATGACAATAACAATGCGCATAGAGACGCCTGCCGCCAGTGTTGCCAGTTTGCTGGCAGAAAAAAGCTGTTTCTAGCGGTACAGAAAAAAAGCTACGCTACGAAGGGCGAGAAAAGCTTTAAAAAAGCTGAAACGTCACTAAGCACTTGTGTGCTTTCGATGCTGCTGGATATATATTTATGCACTAATTAAGCATTTAATTAACTATTTGTTTTGGTAATCATGTATGGAGTGGAATATATCTATTATATTCAAAATTGTAATTTTGTTGCGCATATTTGTTTGTTAAAAGAGTAGGCTGAACAAATTATTTTAAACACAATATATACACAAAGTAAATTAATATTTATTAGTTTGCTTTATAGCTTTAAATATTTGACGGGAAAACAGTTGATCTGGCTTCACTGGCATAAATATATATCACTAGTATTTTAATACGATTAATACCAACTATCGGACGCCACGCTCGATCACTGACGATCGATCACGACTTATCGATAACAACAATTTGTTAAAAGGCGCGAAAAATGTATCCCTTTGAATAATAAAGTCCAATTTAGTCTCACATTATGCTTACACAACCAATCAGGTTTAAATCCCCGGTGGGGGAGATTCGTTCTTCTTTGTGCAATCGGACGTATATACCGTTTGTCCATTACCTTTTTAGTAAATATTTGCCAAGACTTATTTAATAATTTTTTTTGCTACTATAAACAGTGGTAATTTTTATGAAATCGAGATATCTTAAATATGTATATTTTAAATCCACTTAAAATTTTGTGTTCCCCATCCATTCACGCTTTGTTTTTTTTTTAAGCAAGTTAATCGAAACTCACCGCAATCCGAATTATTTTTGCAAGTCATCAAATGGGCAAAACCTCGCTTATCTGCTTATATCAAGGCCCGCCAAATGATGTCCTTTGTAGTGGGCCTTCCGGGCATTGGCAAATGACTGTCGAGCTGGCAGACAAACAAAACTCAACCACAGACAACCCACTCAAATGGAGTTGCCTCCTTTAAAAGTTCATTCGTTTGTAAATAATTTTTAGCCCTCGGCAAAATCGATACTTCGTTTAAGATTTTTGCATATAGTATGTATATGCGGCCATAGCAGGGCTCTGAAAATTTTGTCAAGCTGCGGAAAACTTTCAACGGCAGCCGTCGAGCGAAGTTATATGAGCAGCGTATGCCGATAATGCATAAGAGAAAAGTCGGAGGGCGAACGGAGAAATGGCATAAGAGAAATGGCAAGCAGAAGATGGGAGGTGGAGAAATGAAAGCATAAGCCAAATGGGGAAGTTTTGCTATTAAAGTTTTTCATCAGCGCCTATTTGCCGAGCTCTTGAAACTTGGCCCTAAACCCGTTTGGTGATGGGGTGAAGGGCAAATATTTGTCAGGCAATTAAATGTTTACTGTTTTTATTATATGCTTTTCTTTGCTCAACCCTCCTGTGCATTTTTATTGTGACAAAGGAGGCGGCAAAATGGGCTGGAGTCAGCTCTTCCGGCTAAAATTAATCATACGCCTCGTTGCCGCAGTGCAAACAACTCGCCAAAAGGCAAAAAGGGACCGGCTAAGCCGGTTGCAGCTTGCAACCCCGATGCGGTTAATATATTGGGTTCAGAGAGGCTTAATTATTTAGAGTAGCGATGGAAATGTGAGTACATTTATACAAAAACGAGGGTTAAGGTCTTAAAACCAAAATATATTCCCTTTTTTTATTTTGTTTTTAAAACGTAATATTTAAATTTTGAAACACATTCAATATTACTTTGTGGCGGCAAATAAATATGTTTTAAAACCCTCATTTGTCGATTTTTCTCTTACCAATCCATATTTATTTCGTATTAATTAATATACCACCTCCATCGCCATCCAGTCGATGGTAATGCGATTTGCTGCGAGCATTTGAAGCGATTCATTGAGGCGGCTCAACATATTATTGCCACTCACTCCAGAAGCCTCAAGTGGACTCCACAATGCCCCCCATTCTCGGATTCACTGTATATGCATGCAAATTAATTAACAACACTCGTTGGGGCCATAGTAAATTAATAATTTAGCCAGACATTACGCATACGACGCATCGACTGAGTGGCAGTAAAAAGCTGTCCAAAAACGCGGCGGAGATGGGCCAAGAGTCATTTTAATTACCACATAACAAGGCAGCGGGCCACAAATGGCAACTGGGAAATGGGAAATGCGAAATTCCCGAGCAGTGGAGTGAGTGAGCGGAAAGTGGAGAAGGGAAAGCATGTCACGCTAAATGGGAAATGTTGCGAATACGACCTGAGGGCACAAGTGCCTGAATGTGTGTGCGTTTTATGACATTGCCAATTTACAAAATTTCATAAATATAAATTGGTTTTAAATGTTAAAATAAAACAATTAAAATCGCCCCTGGTAAACAGCAAATTGAGCGCTTCAACCTGCGCCGAAAACGGTCATGGATAATATTTGCGAATTTAGCAAACATTCGAGGAGCTCTGAATAATTTAGGAGAAATTATGATTGCATTTCCCCCGAGAGAGAATGAGTGCAAATCGGAAATTAGTCAAACACAATCTATTCACATTTACATCGAAATTTTATCCAAATCACAACCGGGAAAATAGCTCAATTCAATCGACGCAAACAACATTTTTATTTAGTCATCAACAATTTTTTTTGTGGACAGTTGAAAAGCATTAAAAAATTGTTTATGGTTGTTACTGTTCTTGAACATTTCATCGGTTGGCGATAAAACAGCATGACAAATGAGGGGAATTCGTTGGCCATTTTCGTTTACACTGCCCCCATAAATTTCGCACTAATAAAACTGCGGAAAAGCGTGCTACAAAAAAGCAATTGGAAAGGCATCAAAAGCGAGTGCAATAAATACGACTTGAACAATATGGTGTAATTTTGTTTTGAGTCAGCAATCAATGTGGAGTTCTCGAAGCCCAGATGAAATCTTTGACTTTAAGTCGGAGCTATTAAATGGCGCCGCATAGCTAACAAATCGATATTTAATGACAAAGCTTAGTCACACCCACACCCACCCAAAAACACGCCCCCAGACTAACACCCGCACACTCAAACAAAGCAAGCACATACATCATTGTCAATGTCAAAGTGTCAAAGCAAACTTGCAGTGCACAAAGCTAACGGCGCATAGTTATTACACTGAAAGAAACTAAATTTGAAGCTGATCATATTTTTACGGTGATAAAATCAAAAAAGTGATTAAGAAACTATTCGTTATCCTAATACATTTTTTCAACTTAACTATTTAACTCTACGAAACTGTTCTTTTAATTAAATGTAATTATATTATTATTATTATACACAATGTTCATAATCAAAATATTTAAAACAATATTATAATCGTATTTCTTTACGCAACAACCTTTCCAAAAATCATGAATAACTATATTTTTCGGTGTATCTCGCAGTTCTCAATTCTCAGTTAAATTCATCTCATCGGGCCGACCCAAGTCAAGTGCAATAAACCCTCGAACCGACTGCAGAGTTTTGCATTTCGGCCACGCCCACATAATGCTCTTTCCGCTTTTAGCCCCCAGTTATGATGTTGCAGTAAGCAGCAAGTAAACTGCAATTTGCGAACAAAAACTTTGGATGCGACAAACTTTCCACCCATATGTCCCACTCCTTCAAGCCCTCAGTTTCTCTCTCTTTCTCGCGCTTTGTTTTTATCTCTCTCACTCCGCTTAGCGAACGGGCAACAATTTCAACTGACAAAGTCCGGCGATAAAAAAAGTGTTTAAGTACTTTAGTTGCGCTCCGAATGCATCGCACAAAAGTTTATTAAACAAACAGGTAACGATAAAACTGAATAGCAGAGAAAAAATAAGAGGGGAAAACCAGTATGATTCACTTCCTCGGCTTTTCTTTTTAACAGATGTTTCAATGAATAACAAATTTATAGTTATTGATGTTGTTGGGGCCACCAAGGTTCATAACTAACAAAAGAAAAGAGAAACAAATTTGTATTGTTGGTGACAGTGGAAAAATGTATTTAAAGACAAATAAGTTGAAAAGGGTATTAAGTGGGTTATTTGTTGGCGGAAAGAATGTTATTTAAAATGTAAAAGTAGCCTACTAAATATTACCAAAATAAAAAAATTGGCTACAAGATTTTTTGCTACCCTTTATTGCTAAATGGCTTTTGTCTGAAAAAATTAGTGGCTTGAAATTTTATTTTAAATAATCTATTGGAGCAGTTGGGTTTTCCGGTCTTATCCTAAAAAATAATTTTACAAAAGGTGTGGTTTTAAGTCTTTACAAGAAATACAATCGTTGTTTTCGCACTCTGATATTATTTTGAATAGAATTTACAAGAGATTTTGATGTCAATCCTAATAAAATAAATTGATTGCCTACCTGTGCGGGAAAGGCAATGATTTCCTAAGCCGTGTCCTTTTGAAAGCTTATCACACGGGGCATAGAAAATCCAAAACAATCGGGTGTCAAATTGACGAGTGGCTTGTCTAGTAATAAGACCCTCGACCCGCTCACCATTAACAATGTACAGTCATCGCTGAATTGCTGTTGTCCTCTAGACCCCTCCCCCCAACCCGGCTGCCACGCCCCCTCCGAAGATCCCCGCCCACCAATTGTGTGTACGCCGCTCGCATAATCAATTATGCGTCTGCAGTGCGTCCGAAGTTCTCTCTAAACTTGGCAATTTATTTGCACCGGAAACTCAACATAAATCAAACTAATTTCTCCAGGGATTTTTCAGCACAACTTCCAACGTGTCCCATTCGCTCTATCTCTGTCCCGCTCGCACTGTTGTTTTCACCGTCACGTGTTTAACTGCGTGGGAGGGAGCGGGACGGAAGGGAGGGAGGCGTAGCAAATTGAATTTGTCGCGCTGTGTTGCATAATTTGAGGCGCATTGTGCGTCTAATTGGCCAACGAAAGGAAAGGAAAAAGTGAAAGCCCCGAAGACATGCGGGAAAATCGAGGGATGCCCTTATTAGACAGGTTTGGTTCTATATTATCAACGGTATTGCATGGCTATAAATGTTTATTATGCGCGACGTCCCTATTCAACTGGGCTACATTGTATTTTCGCCGCTTGTTGACTTCGCTATTCGTGAACATCACTCATTTGCGTTATTTTAATGTCACTGCCAGGAGCACTGATGAAACGGATTTGGGAAATAAATGGATAGGATTGGGAAAAGGTTTTTTTTTCATCTTGTATTAGGTGTTTTACTTATACAGTTTAACAACCTTAAGCTTATATTTTCAAGTTGCCGTGATAGATTTTTAGAAAAGGACAACTACTTCATATTAAATAAGTATTTCTATCATAATCATTCCGGGCTCCTAATTAATTTGGATTAAAGTGAATCTAAATTAGATCATCTAGTTGGCTTTGGGCAAATTGTCTGTATTTTTTCCTTTTATACTCTTTATTATATTTAAAAACTGTCAAAATTCTAGGTCTTCCAAAATGGGAAAGCAAACATTTGTTAGTGAGGCTCATGAAGATGGACTACCAATGGAACCACAATTACCAGAGCTCAGCTTGCGTAATTTTCGAAACAGCAACCGAATGAAGCCTCTGGTGAAGTTCAGTCGTTTACCAAAACAAAAGGACATTCTGGAAACGCTCAAGGACTTCTGGAGGGAAAATAAGAACCCCGATTTCCTAGTGCAGATCGGAGAACACAATTTTCCCTGCCATCGTCTGATACTAATGGTCTACGTACTGCAAGTCAGACAGAATAGGGAAAAATTGGAGCTACGGTTACCAGAGGATTCGGTTAAACCGGAGGTCTTCGATCGACTTTATCGCTGGATGAATGATAGGGAACCTCTGCTGAAGCGTTCAAAAATTCTTGATCTGCTGACGGCGGCCTATTACCTAAAGTTAGATGAGTTGTCCAATCAGGTTTGGCATTGTTTGGATCAGGACACGTTATCCGGTGAACATCAGGCTATTCAGGTGGCCCAAGATGCACTGCACGCCAAGGATCTGCTCTTTTTGCACTACATGATGCTGCTGCGGATTCAACACTTCTTCCTCACTTTTGTTTCCTCAGTTGAATTCCTTGCTCTGCCCCTCAAAAGCCTGTGTTACCTGTTATCCTCGGATGAAATAATGGTTAACTCAGAGGCAGAGGTATTCTATGCCGCCATCCGTTGGCTGAATCACGAATGGCCCACTCGTCAGATTCATATGATGGAGGTGATGGATAAGGTGCGACTCTCCAGGATGCCCAATAAACTACTTCTGATGCTGGAGTCCCCGGTGGACGACATACGCGTGGACCGCATCATTCAGTCGCCGGAGTTGAAGACACGCATGGAGAAGGCCTGGTGGGTACACTAGAAAAAAATTTGTGTTGGTTATTAATATTAGGACCTATGATGTATCAGTTTATAATGATTATTCATAATTTTTTGATATTTAAGCAGGGTTTAACATTCTTTAAATTGGAATACGCAATTTAAAAAGAACTATATTTATTATTTTATTAATTTACTAGTGTTTTAATACATTTTATTCTAACATTAATTAGCTTCTCGCTTCGAAAACCCTACATTTTAAAAAACATTTTGCTGAGTGCATCAATTGATTTATCCTGCTAATTACTCCGACTGTCAATTAACTGCTGTACCTCCTCATTAGCTTGGACCAAGTGCTGGAGCAGTTCAACGACGGGAAGCGTGTGTACCGGCAGATTTATGAGATCTTTAACGTGACTTTTCCGCAGCCGCGAGGATTCATCTGTCACGATTTGGCAACCTACCACGAACCGAAACCCAATTCACCCGTCCAGGTGTTCAGCTACGCCGACTTCCTCAACTACCTGGGCGTCCTGCAGACGCTGCCTCCGAACACTTTGCAGCTCCTCCGAAATCAGCGCTGATGGCCCAGATGGCATCGAACCCGCCAGGATGCCTCCTTCCCCCCTCCCCCTCCTCCATGCTCCTGCCCGACGACCTTGATGATGATGATGTGGCTGTGCAAAATGACAGCGATCGTGCTGCGTGGCAGTTACACCAAATTTGCATTACCCGTGCAGGTGTTTTCGTGGGGCGTTGTTTCTGCATCCACTCCTCCACTGAACTTAGTGCCAGTCGCGTTTTAAAAGCGAGTTGATTGAAAAGTTTCACCAGCCAAAGCAATTGAAAGTGGTCTCCTAAAAAATATTTTACTTCTTTTTATATAGATTTAATAAAGTGTCATGTTTGAAATCTCTTGCTTAAAAAAATAATTTAAAACTGTTTTTAATATGTGCTTATAAAGTAACCAATAAAAATAAAAAGCTACAATTTAGTTAATAAATATTAAACCTATTTTATAACTGTTTTAAAATAATTACAATTCTAACCATTTTTAAATACTCTTTTAATGTTAATCTATATATTTTTTTGGAATATGTATTTTCCATTTACATAAATTACCTAGAATTTATCAAACACACTTCGCAATCAGAACTTTGTAGCAGTACAGAGGCAGTGGTTTTATAGAAAAGGGTATCATTAACTAGTAGAAAAACTTATTTTCACTTTAAGGCATTTATAAGCTTTAGAATGAATTCCAGGCTAAGAGTGAAAGTTGTGCATAATATTGTTAGCCCAAATACCTTTTTAAAGCCACACCCCTGCTTTCCATCTTATTACACTTTCCCAGTGATTTTCGAAACAATTTCCTCATCAGCGGTAACTGTGGACCACATTGCCAGCATCGTCGTAATCCCGGCCACATCACCTTGTTTCGGTTTGGAATGCTCGCGGCGGTGCTCCTGAACTGAGCTCTTCACACACACACACACACACCCGACGGAATTTTCCACCCACACTACCACTACCACAGTGCAACACACCAGGCGTCGCTGGGAAATTGAAAATGTTTGTTGCTGCGGCAAGAGTCTGCAAAGTTGGCAAATCGAGATTGCAGTTTGCTGTGACGATGATGATTGCCAGGAATGTTTCTGCCTGCCTTGCGGCTAATAACTGCAAGCAGCGTCCTAAAAGAAACATTTCCATAATTAACAATGTCGTGGCGGAATAAATGCATGGCAATCCGCTAAAGCTATTATAAAAACAAAAAAACAAATGAAAAAAAAAGGAAAACACAATTTCCTAATGTGCTCAACACTTTGAGGTTTACAAAAAATGTGTGTGCATGTGGGTGCAACCTGTTATTAAAATCATAAATCTGCATTAAGCGAGTCTGTGTGGGCAAACAAAACGGCTTTATCAGCTAGGCAACGCATTTTTCATACTTTTTTGCCACACATAAATTTATTTTAGGGGCTCGTTCGTCTCTTTTTTAATAAACTCTCGCTGAATTTCCACCCTAAGCTTCGTGCAGGGCTTATGTGCTGAAAGGCGTCCTTTAATTCATTTTCCATACACACTCACACACACACGACGACGACTAAAAAAACAGCGGAAAATGATTAAAAACCACTTTAATATATCTTCTTTGTCACTTCTGCTGGCTGAGAAGGAGAATAGGATGTGGATGGCAGGCTTACGAAGAGCCCTTGTTGACTGACAGTGGGGGCTTTAAGTTCTGCTACTCTGAAATTCGCAAAATAAAGGGTTAAGAAGTGCCAAAATAAATAAATGTAAGTTTAAGTAAATTTCAATTTTGTTTTATTTAAGTTCTTCGGTTAGCCCTTGGTCGGATATAATGATGTGCTTTTATGATTATAGATTGGTGGTTGTTGCGTCCCAATGCTTCTGGCCTCGCAGAGAAAAGCTCCCACTAAAGCCATAACGATGAATAAAAGCAGCGAAAACTGAAGACTCTTCATGTTTATGATGAACTGATCTCAGTCGCTTAAAAGCAGTCCATATTTATACCCGATTTTGGGTTTGGAAAGGTTTTTCCCAGTCGATGATAACCTCAGAGTACTAACAGTAAAGTCCAGAGGTGAGTTTCTGACTCATTAATCAAAAATTTTTTATATTCTTTTGAATTTTTTTTAATTGCCTTTAGAGATTATACAGAAATATATACAAATAGGTAAAAATTGCCATTAGAGATTATACAGAAATAATTACCTAAATGTATATACAAATAGGTAATCAAATATTATAAATAAATTGCGCTACAATTTAACATACAAGTAGAGAGTAAATGCCTTTCCATTCCTTTAATTTGCAGAACAATAAGAGTATTAATTTTAGTTGTAAACTATTACAATGCATTTTTATATGTACAATTCGAACAATAGGTACCCCCAATCTGTACTGAAAACTGCTGGCACAATTACCCAAACTTAAAGTCCTCTATTAACGTGAGATTCGGTAGTAGCAATACACCCCCATCGAGGAACGACTTGTATTGTAGCTATCGATTTTATAGTTGCTCATTTTGTGGGCAAAAAGAAATGGAAGAGTGAAGGATGAAAGAGACACAAAAAAAAGTTCAAAATTACAACGCATAGTTGCGGTCAATTGTTAGTGCAAAATGCCCCAAACAATTAGAAACCACAATTGCTGTTCTGGCCAAGGGAGAACTTTTCATTTTTCCCGGCAGGAGTGCAGGCTGCAGTTTCCTCCCCACCGACCCCCGACCCCTGACCCCTGACCCCCCGAAATACGGCAGCTGCAAATGCATTCCATTCTGAGGTTAATGCTCGCAGCCAAACGAAGGGCGAACCCCAAGGCCCCCCCCCACTTAACCCACTTCAGCCCGAGAGTTCGGTTTATAAACTTGCCCGGCCATTGCTGTCCTGACAGTACATTTGGCAAATTTTCTTTCTCCTCGGAGCTCAACTTTCCTGCAGCTGCAGTTTTCCACTCCGCTCCTTGGATCCTTCGTTCCTTGTCCCTCTGTCAAGTGAGGCGGACATAATGCGATTTTAATACAGATTTCGCCCGACTCCCCATTGGCCCCAAAGAAGAAGAAGCAGAGGAAGACTGAAGTCTGTCATGTTGCATGACACTCCCCATGGAGGTGAAATATGAGTGGTATCCATGTGGCTATGTGTGTATGTTATTTATAAGCCCTTAACTGTTTATTTGCTGGCCAAAACCGGACCGACGTGTGCCACTTTTCGGTCCAATCGGTTGATAACTGCGTATCCGGCAGGGCACTTAAGCCGCTTACCGCTTTTCCTCATTTTCCAAAAGTTTCCCCTGACTTTTGTGCAATTGAATAATTAGTTGGTAGATTTGAAAATTAAATGAGTGCAGGTCGGTCTGGTAACTGTGAAATGTTGCAACTTTTGCAATAGACATCTGTAGATGTTAATTAGCTTTTATTGGTTAATTAATAAGCACCTGAGGTATATTTATGAGTTTCCGCAATGTAACGAATAGTCTCGTTTCATTAGTTTTGTGTTTATTTGACTAGTTTTAAAGGTGTTAGGAAAATGTAACAATTATGTTGCAGAAATATATTCCATTTATTTCAATTATTCTTAGGTATGTATTTCGAGACTGTAGTTTACATTTATAAATGTAAAATTTAAAAAAAAAAAAAATTTTTAATTTGCAAATGGCAAAACAAATATAGCTCTATTCACTCTTGCTCATCATGTTATTATTTTCAATCTGAAATTAAATTTGAGATTAGTTTATATAGTATAGCTTAAGCTTTGATGAAAAATATAAATGTCATGTATAAATCAATTAAAATAGAGTTACAAAATTCGGCTTCTTTTTATGGAAAGGTAAGGACCTGTTCTTCAAAGTAAACTCCACGATAGTTAGCCCACTTTTTGCTGCTTTCATCAAACGGCTGTCGTACTCCACCTTCAACTCTTACGCCTTTGTTTTTTTGTGTGTCGACGGCTGAGCACTTTAGCACACCCAAAGCCGAACTCAAACGCCAACGGTATCTGTGTGGGTGGGCATCATGGGTGTATGGGTGTATGGTTGTACGGGTGTGTGTGGCTCATGCTTTTACAATCCTATTAAAGTATCAGACAATCTAATCAACGGCAGGCGGCAGCTCAAAAACCGCGCGTCCTGCACACGCGCTAAACGTTGCCAAAAAGCGAGGACCGCAGACAGGACGAAAGCTCAGCTTGGTGGGTGGTGGGTGGTGCGATGTGGGTGGCACAATGGGTGGCAGAGTGGGTGGTGGCAGATCCGCAATTGCTGACGCCATGGCTGCTTGTTGACAGCCCCCTACACCCACCATATACCCCAATTCCCAAGCACTTGGTCCACAACTAAACACGCAGATAGACAAGCAGATAGCAACAACAGCAATCACAAGAATGCCAACAATGGCACCAAACAACAATCGCATTACAAGGCAAAATGTCCAGTAAAACAGGCTGAGGCAGAGTCGACTATTTGATGGGTTTTGGGGGCTGGCTGCCAAGGGAAGAAATAGGGAAGATGGGATCCACTTTCTCGACCAGAGCAGATGGCGTGAGAACTGAATTTCACGTTGTAGGGAATGAGTTACGTGGTTGATTAAGAAATTAATAAAACATATTAGTTAAGACAAAAAATGACAGTGGTCTAAATAAAATTTATTGGGAAAAATCAACCTACAATTATTTATAATCCTGAATTTTGTTAAATTAAAAAGCTAATGGATCAATCTTTTTTAATATCTTTCACAGTTGATTTGTTTCAAGCCTTTACCTCCCTGAAAAAAAAAACTTTTTTAATTTATGTATATTGAACTGTATTTTTTATTTTAATCAAAAAGTTTTTTACCGAATTTTAAAATTATTGGATTGAATGAGTTGAGATTCTAAAAGTGGAATGTATGTGTAATATTTTGGGATGCTTATAGGAAGTTTCTTAAAATACAAGTTAAGTGTCCAACTCTGCCTCTTAATTGAACCAATTCCCAAACTATACTGACGGGTATAAGGTATAATTCTCCAGTCTGGTCAACTACGTACAAAAACGTATTTAAAGCTATCTGTAATTATTTAAATCGCCACCATTCCACCGAATTGTTCAAGGCTCACGCACCCATCTCCGACTGTGACTGTTGCTGTTGTAGTCGCATTGTTGGTTCGGTCTGCGTCAGTTTAATTTGAATACACTTAAGTGTGTTGCGGTGTGCCAGGGAGCCGTTACGAGAATTTCCAATTGAAAATCACTTCAAGTTTAATTTGATTGCCGCTCCGGCAGCTGAGAGAAGTGGTTAGCCTCCTCTGTCTCCGATTCTCGGGCCCCCATCTCTGTCCGAGTCGCATTTCCATTCCATTCTCTATAGATGTCTCTCGATTTTAATCACATTTCGGCCCGGCATTAATATTGATGAAAACTTGTTG